CCATTGAAGGTGCCATGAGGACCCGAGGCTGTGAGGGCAGGAGGGTAGACATGCTCAGCAGAGGTTCATGCTCACCCATGTCCCTTTCATGCTTCCATCCCAGACCTTAGGACCAACCTTTGCTGGTTGAGACAGTAAAGGAAGGGTCAAGGTCATCATCGGAGACCTGGGAGAGAAAGGTAAGAGAAAGGTTAGGTTACTAAGCCTCTGGAGACTGCTATGAACCTGTGGTTGTGGCAATGCCTATTTCATTAGCCTAGCTATGATCCACTGGAATGTGGGCTTTAGGGGGCTTAGAAGGAAGTGGCGTACTGAGGCCAAAAATCTGCTATGCCAGGCAGGGATGGCAGAGATGACAGCAGATCAAAGCAAAAATGTCAGCTAAGACTGACTGCTGGAGGCTGCAAAAATGGCTAAGTGGTTAGGAGCTTGTATTGGCTGTTACAGAGGACACAAGTTAGATTCCTAGTACCCATGTCAAGTAGCTCACAACTGTCTGTAACTCCTTCAGGGGAATTTCATACCTCTGGCCTCTGTAGGCATCTGTACTCACTTGTACAGACACATATACACAATTAAAAAGTACTAAGATAATATTTTTGCTTGTTTTGAGACAGGGTCTCACTATGTAGCCTTGGCTGGCCTCAAACTCACAGACATCTATCTGCCTTTGACTACTGAATGCTGGGACTAAAGATGTACATCACCATGCCTGGTCCTACTAAAATAATCTTTAAAAAACACTATCTGGCTTGCAAATCTGTATGTTTGTGAATACTAGCAAAAACAAAACAATCACCCCCAAAAACAACCCAAAAAACCAAAATAAAACAACCCCCCCACCTTTAAATTGGTTATACTCTCAGAGGGAGGACAGTCCTTGTTAAAACAGACTTGAGGGCCTTTGACAATGGTCCCCCATTCTCAAGTGACTATAATTAGCTAAAACTGGATAGTGACCACCCCCTTAGGTGGACCACCATAATCTGTCTAAAACTTTAAGACACACACAACACACAACACACACACACACACACACACACACAAACACGGGTGCACAAATGTAGTTGCTGATGGGAATAAAGAAGTAGAACATTATTACCTCAAAGGGCACATTATTTTCCAAAAGTCACTAATAAGAAACTGAAATAGACTGGGAGTGGTGGTCTCCCAGCACTCAGAAAGCAGAGGCAGGTGGATCTCTGTGAGTTTGAGGCCAGTCTGGTCTACAGAGCGAATTCCAGGACAGCCAAAGCTATACATAGAAACCCTGCCTTGAGGGGGGGAAAAAAAGAAACTGAATGCTTTCCAGGATGAGCACCTGCACTGATTAACCGTGGTCTGGTGTCCTCACTGCAAGACTCAAATTATACAAATAGGCTGATGTCCACAAGAAGGACCATTCAGTCCCAAAATCACTTTGGATTCTTGGAGAAAGCTAGTGGAGGCTTCAAAGGTTCTGAGAAGGATGCTAGGCCAATAAGCAAATTTTCAATTCTCTGGTTACCTAGTCATGTCCACCATTATAAACAATGGGTGGAGGAGCAGGGTATATGTTTGGAGAAACAGATTATCGATAAGAGCCCTTCCAGAAGATCCAGGTTCAACTCCTACCACCCACATGGAGGCTCACAACTGTCTGTCTGTAACTCCAGTTCCAGGGGATCTGATACCCTCTTCTGGCCTTCTCAGGCACTGCACACAGGTGATACGCAGACATACATGCAGACAAAACACCCATACATAAACTAAAATGAAAAACAAAAACCAAAACAATCAACCAACCAAACCCATATCAAACCAAACCAAACCAAACAACAAAAAACCAGGGCCAGCAAGATAATTCAGCAGGTAAAGGCGCTTGTTGGGAAGCCTGATGACTTGAGTTCCACACCTGGAGCCTACATGGTGAAAGGATTATACTGACTCCTGAAAGTTGTCCTCTGACACATACACACAGTGGCCTCATCCCTCACCCCAACACCTCCTTCTTCCCTCCCTTCCTCCTCAAAACTTAATCCTGGTTCATTACAACCCATGCTCCCACTCTGCTTGTGGAAGTTCTGTAAGCTGCAGACCATTTAAACATGTGTAACAATGCCCACCCAACAAGTCCTAGCCCCACTCACCCTCTCATCCAGATCACTCTCTGCGTCACACTGAGAAGGAAAGAGAGAGATATCAGGAGATAGAAGAGCACACGGACCCAAGGGGGAAGGGAAGGGCCATTACAGGTGGGTAACACTTACTATATATCCAGCTTCCAGAGAGTGACGGGAGAAGGCCTGAGAGAGACCAGAATCCAAAAGTAAGGGAGGCTGACTGGCCAGGACACTGTATAAAGCCACATCTCCCAGCAAGGCACTAAAGGACACTTAGACTCTACTCTCCATTCCTTTCTCTTGCCCTTTCTTTGGGTACTTCCCACCTCCATTCCCAATGATCCTACTATTTCCTTAATACACCAGGTTCTCCCACCTTACATTTTGTTCAAAACAACTTTTCTTCATTTCTTTCCTGAACAAACTTCTGACTCTATTTTGGGGCCCAAGACATTCTAGGGGGCTTTCCCTAACCACAACCCTGTGCCCATCCCCCCAGACAGAATGAGCGGCTTCCTCATGTGGGTTCTGCAGAGCTTCTTATAGCTGTCTCCCAGATCACTGCCTTGCACAGCTGCTCAAACTAGGCTAGGTGTTCTCTTGTTGACTGTTTCTTTCTCCCTAGGTTGCCACCAGCTAGAGGGAAGGGCCAGGACATTTACTTTATTTATAATTCAATCAAATATCTTTGATGTGTCTCTTCAATCATCATGTTTGTAGTATACATAGCACAAGCAAAGGCAAGTGAGTCTGACTGTAGTCAAGTGGCTGTCAGGCCTAGACTAGAGAGGCGCTGCTGTCCCATGCTCTGCCTTCCTTTCTGCTCCTGGAACCTGGGATCACTGTTCAGGATTGGCAGTTTGATGCTCATGGAAAACCAATCTACACAAATGATACTCTGACTGAGGAATTCTGAAGGATTGAGATGTGGGACAGGCTCACCTCTTTCCGTCTTCGCTTATTGGGCCATTTGCGGGGCCTATCCCCAGGGGGCCGGCCAGGCTCACGATCTGAGCTGTCCCCTGGCTCCCCAGTGGCCCCACTGGAGCCCCCCCTCTTCCGTTTCCCAGAATGCTTCAGCCGATGTTCCAGTCGCTCTGGGGGCTGAAGAGATGCATCCTTCTGTGGAAGAGGAGGTGGGACTGAAGTGGTAGGAGAAAGGAAAGCTCCCCAACTCTCAAAGGGTGACCAAGCCACACAAGTGCCTCTCAGCCAGGCTAGCTTAGGTAGTCCCCAGAGACTAGCTCTACCTCCTCCCACCCCAGGGTGGGGCAGAAGCCAGGCCAGAGGAGCCGGTTGCTCTGGTTTGGGGTGTCACCACTGCCCCCTCAATCCTCTCCACTCTGAGGGCTGTATCCTTCTCTCTGCCTTCTGACCCTTCTCTCAAAGACCCCCGAACCCTATCAGGACACACCTGCAAGGCTTCAAGACTGGCAAAGCTGGCGATGGCAAAGCCATCGATCAAGTCTTCCTCCTCTTCCTCCTCCTCCTCAGGCTCCTCCTCGGCTTCCCCGTCGTCTGCGGCCCCCTCTTCCTCTTCCTCCTCTTCCTCTCCGCGGCTGCCGGAACCGGCAGGCCGCTTCCGAGCTCGCGGTCTTGGGGGTCGAGGTCTGGGTCGGGGTCGCCGCCGTCTTAGGCCCCCAGGCCTCTCTCCAGAAGAAGCTGACGACCAGGGCCGGGCGGGCGGCGGCGGTGACGACGAGGATGAAGAGCCGCGCGGGGCGGCCAACAAGGCCCGGGGCGCGTCACCGCCTGGACCTCGGCGGCGCCGCTGCTCCCGATCACGGTCTCGCCGCGAGCAACGTCTTCGCCGCCGCTCCCCCTCAGCTGCCCAGCCCGGGCCTGGGGCCGCGGCCGTCTCCATGGTGACGGCCCTCAGCGCCGCATCCGGAGGCGGCGGGGCCCGAAGCGGCCTGTCCGCAGGCCCGGGGTCGCGAGCGCGGTGCTGGCGTTTGCACAGGGACGGGAGAGCTTCAGCTTCCTCTTTAAAACAGGATCCGCCGGCCCCTGGCTTTCCCCAAGGCCAAGGCCCAGAGAGCCGGCGCCGCCCCCGGGGCGACAAGCCTGAAGGCCCCCCCTGTAGGGCTGGCGGGGCCGCGACGACGAAAACTGAGCGGCCGTCCCTTTAAGGCGAGGCCTCAAACTGTCCAGCCCCCGGCCCCTTTAAGACGACTCCACCGTGTCCGGCGGGTCTAGTGCGGCGGCGGCCCCGTGCCAGGGGTCGAGGCAAGTCTCCCAGAGGAAGAGGAAGGGCCACCCCTTTAAAAGGGGCGGAAAGCGCGACCTCCCCTTTAAAAGTGTCTTAAGTCCTCCGGCTGAAAGAGGCCACCCCTTTAAAGAGTCCAGAGGCTTTCAAACCGCAGGCCGTCCCTTTCAAGAAATCGCAGTTCAGTTTCTAGTCCTCCAAACTGCCACTTCCCCTTTAAAATGAATTGAAAGAACTTCTTGCGTGGGACAGGAGGTAGGAAACTCCACTTGCCCCAATTCTTCCAACAGGAGTTCTGTTTGTCAGCTTCGGCAGGTTTCCCCTTTAAGGCTGGAGTTGGAGTCGGCCGAGTTCGGTGCCCACCCCTTTAAGGAGATTTAAAGAGGTCTACGCCTCCGGTAGCCTTGAAAGGTGCAAGGGGGCGGAGCCTGCCGTCCAAAGCCCCGGATGTGAGGCAACGGTGACGGATAGAGCCTCTTTCCCTGTCCGCCGACATAAAAGACTCTTCCTCCTTTCCTCCGTCCCTGACTGGCTTGTGTCTAGAAGGATCCAGAAAGGCCGCTGGGCAGCGAGGAACTCCACCGTACCCTCCCGTTGTCTTCTTCGGAGTCTCCGGCCTCTTCTCCGCCCGAACTTCCCTGCCCCTCCTCCCTCTTCCTTCTCAGCCAACGCCTCCTTCCTCTCTCCGCCTCCTCCCACTCTCCGCCTCCTTCCCCCTCCCTCCGTGGCTCAGGCGTTTATAGGTCCGTGAGTTTACGTCAGCGCGAAGGGCGGGGTCAAAGCCGCGGGAGTGCCGGATGTAACCGCCCTCAAATCTTGGATTGGGTCGTCAGATTAGCCCCGCCCTCCCCACGTCTTGTGACTCTACTGGTCCGAAGTAGGTGTTTGGAGCGGCCCCTTAGGCCGCCGCCTCTTCCTGCTCTCCGCTTATTGGCCGCCTCCTGACGGCGACGAGGCGAGGCGCTGGGAGGCGGTGTCCGGGGCGGGAGGGCCTCCGGCCGCTGGGAGGCGTTCTGCTGGCTGTGCAAGGTGCGCTCTGGTGGGTAAGGTCTCCTGCCTTTCTGCCGGTTGGCATTTCGCGCAGGCGCATGGCGGTAGCACCTCCTGCCGTCTTTGGGCGGATCGCTCTATTGCGGAGCCTCAGCACTCGGAGGCAAGGGTCAGCGGTAGGGCGGAGGCCGAGCTTCTGTTTCTGCGGGATTCGAGCGGTGGTCTTCCCTTCCAGCGCTCAACAATAAAAAACGCCTTGCACCCATGTGCGGAGTACTCTTTCACATTAATGACTTGGTAAATATTTGCTATTCGCTCTATTTTACTAAGGGCGTCTATATTCGAACAGCCAGGGTTCTAGCTCCGGAGTGAGGGCCCTAGCCACAGTCTGAAGCCTTTATGTGACTGATCTGGTTTGTTTGTTCTTTCGAGACAGGGTTTCTCTGTATTGTTTTTGGAGGCTGTCCTGGAACTCGCTCTGTAGACCAGGCTGGCCTCGAACTCAGAGACCTGCCTCTGCCTCTCGAGTCCTGGGGTTAAAGGTGTGCGCCACCATCGCCCAGCCAATATTTTTTTGGTGTTAAATGTATCATATCATTATTGTGTGGGCATGGACACGATGTATCTAAGTATGTGTAGGCGTGCGAGTGCCATGATACTTCATGCTGAGGCCCGAGGACAACCTTGTCTTCTCCCTGTCAGCTTTTTTGTGGGCCCTGGAGATCAGATTCTGGCAGCTAGGCCTATGTGCCAAGCACCTTTTATCAGCTAGCTGGTTCACTGGCCCTAGTTGTTACTGTAACGTGGATATTTTCTCGACAAACTCACTTTGTTTGCTCGCTGATAAATTCCTTGTGTACCAGCCAAGTATAGGAGTTGTCCTAGGTGGGTGATTACAGCATTTGGGAGGAATTCAAGACCATTTTGATCAAGTCTATCCCAAAGCCTTTTAATTTCTATGATGTAACTGAGTCGTGTATTGGCATTTTCTGTTTTTTTCCTTCATAAATATCACCCCGTAAAAGAGTTCTCAAGAGTGTTATCCCTGGGCTGGAGATGTAGATCAGAGGTAATGTGTACAGGAGTATAAGTTTGATCCCTAGCACTGCCAGGGGATGAGAGTGCAGTTGGAATCTCTAATGACACCCCCCTCCCCCGTCTGCTGCAACCCCTTTTGTCTTCTCTGGTGCTGTCTTCTTTTTCTACTCCTTTGGTGACCAACACAGAAACATCAGCTAGTATAACTAATTGATCTCAAACTCTGCTGAAGACAAAGGAATCAGAAACATATTGAAAATTTTATAGAAATATAGAGAAAAAAATACAGTTGATCCAGAGAGTCTCCCCCTCTCTGGAGGACGGATGGACAAACAGTTGGAGCTCCTAGAGCTAACAGGGCTGTTCCCTATCTGTCTCCTCCTCCAGGAGCAAGGCATCTAGTTCCTTGAGCCGTTCTTGTAGCAAAGGTCCCACATCCTGGCTGGGTGCCAGAGTGGGAGTAAGGGTCCTGCCAGCTGAAGTGCGGATCCCTCGTGATGGCCGACGGGATCGAGGCATGCTACTATCCCGAAATTCGACAGCCCGTCGGAGTTTCCTAGAGCTGGTAAAAACCAGAGTCCCATTGCGCTCCCGTGGTTCCTCAAAGATGGTCTCAAAGGTCCTGGGCCAGGCAGAGAGAAGAAATGTTTACCAGCGTGTTCTCTGGTTCAAACAGCCCTCTAGTGCCCTCAGACCTTACAAGTTTCTCACCTTCTGGTTGTGGGTGATTGGTAATTCTTATTGGTATAAATTTCTTCCAATGTGAACTCCTTCTTGTTCAACCTAGAAGCAAAAAGCAGAGAGCACTGAGAAACCTTGAGCAAGGAGGTCCTGAGAAGGTCTAGATAAAGTCTGAGTGAATTTCAGTTTCTGGGCCATGCAAAAAGTTGGAAGTGACATTGGAGGAAATTCTAAGCACAAGCCGCATCCAGGCTAAACTTAAATCTTCCAGGCTGGACGACACTCTGAGAGGATACAAGGCTATACTTTAGGGGTAGGAGTTATCACCTACTTGATCAAGGTGAGTCCCTGCTTTCTGAGCCTCTCACCTGATTGGTCTAGGCAGCCCCATTGGTGTAAGGTTTGGCTGTAGACGGACAGGAGTCCTCCTTATTCTGAATCTAGAAACCTTTCCCGTGATCTGCAAAATTGGGGCAGAGGGTGAAAGAGAGGCATGGGCTCAGGGTCAGCTGGCTCCTGTCTCTTTGCTCATTACCTTGGTCTCTGGGTCAGAAAACACCTTGTCCTTTGAGGCTTTTAACTCCTTCCCCTTGGTTGAACCCAATCTGCAAAGATGGTCAACAGTCAGGGACAAGGGAATACACAGCAATACACCCGTCTTGTGTCACTGGCTACTGAGCAAAGGAGGCCAGGCTCAGGCTGTGGCCAGGGCTGACTGAGAGCACTACCTGTGTTCTGCTGGCTCGCAGGGGAAGGAAGTGGCTGCAGTGGATGAGCGAGATGCAGTGAGACAAGATGAGGCTCCCATGCCTCCAAGAGGGAAGACCTCTTTCCGGAGACAGGGCCGAGGAGGTGGTGGGGTCCGGGCCATCTCCCCACAACCCACAGTATGTCTCCGGGGTCTGCATTGGCTTGGCTGGGATGGAACAGGAGGCCAGGTACAGCTACCTGGGCCAGGGGGCCCCAGATCAGGGCAGGAGTAGCTTCGGCCCAAAGATAACTTAGAGACAGGTGCTACAGAATTGTCTTGAGTCCGCCACTGGCGGATAGGGGGCCGGGGGCTGACAGATGCAATTCTCTCAGTAGCCCTGGACTGTTCAGCCTCTGAGATAGCAATCTTCAACTCCAATTTCATGGGAGGTGATGGGGGTGGAGGCTGTGGTGCTTTGTTAGGCGTGAGGAAGATGTCAGCGAAGCTCTCAAGCTTGGATCGGACGGAACGGAAGAGAGGGGCCAAGCCCCAGGGACTGAGACGGGGGCGTAAAAGGCTGGACGGTGTTGGGGTCAATGGGACCTCCAGAACAGGATCTGGGGCTGAGGAAAGGAGAGGGTCACAGGTGGGTACTCCTCACCCCCGGTGATTTAAGCACCTCACAAGCCTCAGTTTCTCCCTCAAACACTGACCTGTCTCTAGAGGAGTAGCCCTGATCCTAAAGTCCTGTAATTAGGATTGCCTAACATGTCTAAGCCCTGGATTTGATCCCCAGTATTGCAAAGCAAAACAAGAATCCCTCAAGTTCCTGAGGCCCAAATCACATTTTGTACATCCTGATCTGTCCCACGTGGTTAAGCCCCACCCATAGTTCTGCCCCTGATGTTTCAAGCTCACATTGGCTACTCAAGACTCTTGAGTCTCATTCCTTTAATCAAGTCCTTACCTGGTAGTGGGTTCTCCGGAGGGTCAGCAGGCAGAGTGGATGGTTGGAATGGAGGTTCTAGTTCTCTGGGTGTAGGCACTGGCTGATGAACTTTTGTCATAGGCTCTGCTCTGGGGTGAAGGGACAAAGTAAGAGTTGGGGGTGCTTCCAAGTCCAGATCCGTCTTGGGCCAGTGCTTCCCCTGGCCCTTAAGGCTTCTGAAGGTACTATAAGGAAGGGTTAGACAAGTAAACCCTGATGCCCCAGCTCTGTATAGCTGGGTAATAGCTTTGATAATCCCTTCTCCCAGCCCTCTCACCTTTCTGCTGGAACAATGAAGTTGGGCCCATCTTCAGCAAAACCCTGGATACAAACAGGGAAAGTGTTTTGAAAAAGCAGGAAGCCATCTTTGGTTTCCCCAGCTCTCCATGTCCTGACTTATTCCCCAGATATGTACTTGGTTGTACAGAAAAGATTTTTTTCTTATACCCTTTATTCAGGTAGTGTTTATCACATAAGATGTTGTCATTGAGGTGGTGGCCCAAGCCTTTATCCCAACACCTGAAAGGTAGAGGCAGGCTATAAATTGGGTCAGCCTGGTCTACATAGCAAGTTCTAGGCCACCCAAGTCTACATAGTAAAACCCTGTCTCAAAAAGGGGGTGGGGTGGTAGCACACACCTTTAATCCCAGCACTTGGGAGGCAAAGGCAGGTGGATCTCTCTAAATTGAGGCCAGCCTGGCCTATTAAACAAATTCCAGGCTAGCCAGGGCCGTATATAGAGAACCCGTGTCTCAAAGAAAAAAAAGGGGGGACAGGCTAGAGAGATGGCTCAGTGGTTAAGAGGTACTGCTACTCTTCCAAAGGATCCATGTTCAATTCCTAGCACCCACACATGGCAGCTCAACTGTCTAACTCCTGTTCCAGGGGATCTAATGCCCTCACACAGATGTACATGCAGGCAAAACACCAATGTACATAAAATAAATTATTTTAAAAAATTCTGTTGTCCTGCTTTTACAGAAATCCACCCCAACCTCATGCTTGCCTTAGCTGGACCCAGACATCTTCACCATACTTTCTTATACCTCAGCTGGTTGTCTGGGACTGGCAATGTCTTCCAGTACCACCACCAGGGTAGGTTGGGTGACCTGGTCCATCTTTTGTGACGGGCTCTCTGCTGGGCCAGTGGCTGTCCCTGATCTCATGGCGGGAGAGGGCTGGTGGGCACGGCTCAAGGGCTCTCTGCACAAACGGAGTGGGTCAGGAGGCCTAGAGAAGCACAGGAAGGAAGATCAGCATGCTCAGCTGTGCTCTCAGCACATCCCTTCCCTGTCACACTCACCTGGCTGGTAAGGACCACTTGACCTGCTGGGGTGGTAAAGCAGGTGACTGTCTGCAGACAGAGTCCTGATGATCGTTGCGACTCATTGAACTGGAGGTGCTCTCTTGGTGTGCCTGGGGGACCTAAGAGAGGAAGAGTTGTTAAAGGGAAGCCAAGCTGGGCTCATGCCTATAATCCCAGCATTTGCAAGGCTAATACAAAAGGATTGAGAGTTCCGGGTCAGCCTGGGCTAAAAGGTAAGCGCCTGTCTTAGTAAGACAAAACAACAGCAAAGAGCAAAGTAATGGAATGAAGCCAAGTGGACAGGATCTTCTGTGTCTCAGTGTCCATACTCACAGAGGAGACAGATTTTGGCCAGAATTCACTCAGACTCCTAAAGGAGGGGATTAGGTCTGAACTAGGGGTGAGACATAATAGGAGCTACAGGTGTGAAATGTAAGTAATCTAATCTTCTAACCAAGGCTCTGAAGAAATGGAAAAAAGAGGTGACATCTTTCTCAAATATGTCGTGTAGCCACAGACACCACCAGCATGCTTCTCAGGGGACATGAGTTTCTCATACTTAATAGAATATGGTTCCAGCTCAGTGGAGGGTGTGGGAAGGACAGACATAGGCATTACCCGAGAACCATGCATAAGTCTGGCAGTAAGGAGAATGCTTTGAACGTTGGTTTAAGGGACTGAGCTGGGGAGAGGGGCGGAGTCTTTCAGTTAAAGGGCTCACCCTGTTTGTAGCCATGACATCTTCCAGCACTACGGCCAGGACCCGCCGAGAGGCCTTTTCCAAGGGCGAAGGGGTCCCTAGGGGCTGCAGCCTCGGTCTTTTCGGGCTCTTGGCTTCCCATAATGCTCGAGCTAGGGGCTGGCGGCACAGGCTTGGCTGTCTAGAAGGGCTGGAGGGTGAAAGAAGTAGAAGACAGTTGCCTGAACAGGTTGTTGGCTCTGTAGTAGTCAGGTAAAGCAGTCAGGATTCCCGTGTCCCGGGCTCAAGACAGGCAGGCGGGCGGGGAGCGCTCTCACCTGGAGTCCCCAGGCAAGTCCATGGGGAAAGCGGTGGTTCCGGGGAGTCCCTGGGGGATCCCAGGCTGCGGCCTGGGGTAGAGGGGGAACAGGGGAGTGAGGAGTGAGGGCCAGCTCCTCCCCCGGGACTCCGCCCTTCATGTTCCGGCAGCGGCTCCCGGTAGGCCACAGGCCCTCGAAAAGGCGCCCCCAGCCGCCTTGGTCACTCGGGCCCTGCCTAGCACCTGCCGAGAATGGGTCGCGGAGGTCACAGCTCTCCCACGGATTGAGCCTCCTGGGACCTTTGTCCCTGTGATGCCTCCCTGAGGTTCAGGGATCCGCTGGGATCCCGGTCCTGGAAGGCTCCGTTTCCGCTAGATTCCTCTGTGATCCTCGCCCCGCCACGCAGGGGCTCCAGAAGAATTACTCACTACTCCACATACTAACAGCGCTCCCTTTCCACCAGATCGCCTAAATTGGATCTCTGTGGAAAGAATCCTACAGCGCGGTTCTTCCAATCAGAAGCCGCGAGACTCGCCTCCTCCCACTGTGAGCTTCGTCCTAACGAAGTTCCACTCGAGGGGGGCCCAAGCTCATTTAGGAACTCAGTGCGGATTCCGGGGTATACACTGTCAACCCGATACCCCATTCACTCCAGTCCCGGAAGGTCCAGCCCACCGGTAACATCCCACCCCAAGCCCCCGCCCTGCTTGGATCCCCGCCCCGCGTTCTCGGGAGCCCGGGACCAGAAGGCTCAAACGTTTCCCTCTCCGCTGGCCTCTGTGCCCTCTCAACAGCCCGGTCCCCCCACTCCCACCCTTTCCCTGCGCCGCTCACCGCAGCTTTCCAGGGATCCCGGGTTTTCGACAGCTCCCACCTCCTGCTTCTTTAAATCCAGCCTTTCGCAGCTCTGTCCAACCGTCAGAGGCCTTCTTCTCTGTGTCTTGGGCACCGCCCAATCGCTGGCCCTCGTCTTCCGGGGTTAGGAGAAACTACGTGAAACCTCCAGGCGGCCATGATACCTAGGGGCGAGAAGCTAAACTGGGGACAGCACCGCCATTATAATTGAGGGCAGTCGGGCTTGAGCCCTAATCGACTGAACAGCGTTATTTTTCAAAGGCCAGTCAGCGGTCAGCTACTATGGCAGGTTTCTTGATATATTTGGACAACTGTAGTGAAGCAGAAGTTTCTTCACCTTTTGGAAAATCTTCCGTAATTTTTTTCCTTGTTCCTATGCCAGTAAACATCGATTGAGTGCTAACAACTTGAGAAATTCCCATTCTCTTAGGCTCCTCGGGGATTGAGGCTCTGGGAGTAAGGGAAAAGAAGGGCGGGGACCCTGAAGATCCAAGGTTAAAGATTAGTGCCGGTGAGTCCTCTGACTTGTTCAGTTTCTGCAGAGACTGGGAAGAGCCTAAAGTACTGTCTCCAGGCCACTTGGAAGGTTCGGGAGAGGCTCTACTGCAGGAGACCAATAGCCAACCTTGACTTGCTCGTTGGAGCAGGTTCAGTGTCCTTTCTATTCTGGGCTCGCAGAAGTAACTTTTTGAAGAGAAGCCTGTCCTGTGCAGGGTGTCAGTAGTCTTTAAGAATAAGTGATAAGGAGTAGAACCCTAATGCTTGGAGATCCTGCACCAGTAGATCCTTTATTAGGAGCTGGACTGTTGGTGGGGAAAAAATGGGCTTTTACTAGCGTTTGACTGTGAATTTGCATCATTACCTAACCAAAGCCCTAACTTCCCTAAGATTCCCTGTTCAAAATCTGTCCGTGTGTGTGTGTGTGTGTGTGTGTGTGTGTGTGTGTGTGTGTGTGTTTTGGTATGTGTATGTGGAGGCCAGAAAGCCTTGTTAGGTGTCTTCCTCAATTGCTCCCCCCTTTCTTTTTAAGGAAAAAAAAATTACTTTTTTAAAAGTATGCTTATGAAGGCGGATCTCTGTGAGTTCGAGGCCGGGCTGGACCGATAGCCTCCAAAACAATACAGAGAAATCCTGTCTCGTAAAAACCAAAAAAAAAAAAAAAAAGTATGCTTATGAGCCGGGCGTTGGTGGTGCACGCCTTTAATCCCAGCACTCGGGAGGCAGAGGCAGGCGGATCTCTGTGAGTTCGAGGCCAGCCTGGTCTACAGAGCGAGTGCCAGGACAGCCAGGGCTGCACACAGAAACCCTGTCTCAACTCCCACCCCCCAAAGGGTGGGTCTTCCCAATTCAAAAGACCTAATTAAGAGAGAAATCCCTCACAGGCATACTCAGCCACTTGGGTTTATTCCAGATGTCAAGCTGACAACCAAGAATAGCCGTCTGAGGGCCCAGGCTGGCTGAAACTTCACAGCAGTCCTCCTGCCTTAGCTTTCTAAGTGCTGGGATTATGGATAAGCACCTCTCTGTCTGGTTAGTGAACACTTTTCTTGAAGTATTCAAATACCAAACAATTTACCCATCCAAATGTACAATGAAATATTTTTTAGTCCCCAGAGCCATGAGAAAAAAAAAGAAACAGTTTTTAAAACTTAAGTGTTATTTATTTATTGGAGTCAGGGCTTGCCATAACAAGTACAAAGGTCACAGAACAACTTGAGGGAATTCCTTCCATGTGGATTTGGGGGATTGAATTCAAGTTGTCAGGTTTGGCCAGCAAGTGTCTTTATCTGCTGAGCCATCTCACTAGCATGTTCTCTGAGTACAATACTACTGATCGAAATTTTTCCTCCATTCATCCCTATCTAGTCCTTAGTAAGCCATATCTACTTTCTTTTTTTTTTTTTTTTTTTTTTTTGTTGATGCCCTTTTTGAGACAGGGTCTCCCTGTGTAGCCCTGGATATTCTGGAACTCACTCTGTTGACCAAGTTGGCCTTGAACTCAGAGATATATTTGCCTCTGCCTCCCAAGTACCGGATCAAAGGCATAGGCCACCACTGCCCCCATCGCTGTTGTCTCTTTTAAGATTCATTGGTGTACTGGTGTTTGCCTGCATGTATGTCTATACGCCATGTTTCTGCTCCTTTCTGCCTTCTATACACTTTGCTATTTGGCCAATAGCAAATGCAATCATAAGATGTAGTCTTTTGTATCTAATGTCATTCTTTTGTAATATGTTTAAATGCTTATTTTTCTTTTATGTGTGTGGATGTTTTGTCTGCAAACGTATGTAAGTGTATATGTGCAGGCCTAGTGTCCACAGAGGCCTGAAGGGCTTCATATCCCTAGAACTGGATTTAAAGATGGTTGTGAACCACTATGTCCTCTGCAGTAGCAGTAAGTGCTCTTAACCACTGAGCTGTAGTTGGTTGTTTTTATTCTTTACTCTTTGAGGGGCCTGCCTCTCCTTCTCCTTTCGATCCTTCTCTTCCCAAATTTCTCCTCCTATTTCTTCTCTCTGCCTGCCAGCCCCACCTATCCTTTCTCCTGTCTAGCTATTGGCTGTTCAGCTCTTTATTACACCAATCAGGTGCTTTAGACAGGCAAAGTTACACAGCTTCAGAGAGTTAAGCAAACGTAACATAAAAGAATACAACACAAATTTGCATCATTAAACAAATGTTCCACAGCATAAAGAAATGTAACAGATCTTCAACTAATGTTCCACAACACTGAGCAATATAGCTCCAGTCCTGCAGTACTCTCTATTTATTTATTTTTATTTTTTATTTTTTTGGCTTTTCGAGACAGGGTTTCTCTGTGTTGTTTTAGAGCCTGTCCTGAAACTCACTCGGTAGACCAGGCTGGTCTCGAACTCACAGAGATCCGCCTGCCTCTGCCTCCCGAGTGCTGGGATTAAAGGCGTGCGCCACCAACGCCTGGCTTCAATTTATTTTTTTTAAGGCAACATTTGTTGCAGGATATTTGATCACACTGAGATTGCATTATATACTGGGGGAAAAAAATCCTGTTTCTAGTTGTGGTGTGGCTCAACACACACCTTTAATCCAAGAGTTTTCTGCTTTTTGTAAACAGAATTAAATAAAGTCAACCATAGATCAAGAGGCAGAGCAAGCAACCAGTTGACAAGACGTGAACAAGAAAAAAAAAAGACAGGAGTCAGGACGGAAAGAGAGACACACAGGAAGTAGAAGGGAGGGGCATTGGTGGAGGAGGACGGTCGGCTGGCTGGGTGCTTCCTTTGCCCCTCTGAGCCAGCAGGCTTTCATTCCAGCATCTGGATCCGAGTCTTTATTGGTAAAATCAAACATTGAGATTTTTGTCAAGAACAACAACCATTTAATTATTATTATTTACTTAAATTAATCAATTGTTCTTTCAAGAGAATTACTTTATTTATTCTTCTCTCATATATTATACCTCAACCTTAGCAGCTCCCCCTTCCTCTATTCCCAGTTGTCACCCTGTCCCCCAAACCTCCCATCTCCTTCAGATCCACTCCTCCATTTCCCTTCAGAAAAGATGGGGTCTCCCAGGGACATCAAGCAAACACGGCATTACAAGTAACAATAAGCGGGTGCATACCCTTAGATCAAGACTGGACAAGGCAACCCAGCAGGTAAAACAGCCCCACAAGAACACCATGCTGCACACCCATAATAAATACATGGAAAGACTCAGCTCAGACCCATACAGGCTCTGCGATTGCTGCTCCAGTCTCTGAGCCCCTATACACCTGGTTAGTTGGTTCTGTGGGCCTCCTACAATCCCTCCTCTCAATCTTCTGAGGGATTCCCTGAGCTCCACTAATGTTTGGGTCTCTGAATCTGCTTCTATCAGTTGCTGGATGAAACCTCTCCAATGACAATTACACTAGGTTCTAGTCTATGGGTATAGCAGAATAAAATTAGGAATCACTTCATTGACTTTTTGTTGTTGTTGTTGACAATCGTGCTTGGTTCTATCCTAGAAGTCTCTGGACTATCCAGCCTCTGGGTCCTGGTCCTCCGAGCAGTGTTGGAGTGGCTCCCTTTCGTGGCATGGGTCTCAATCTGGACCAATCACTGTCTGGCCACTCTCACGAGTTCTGTGTATCTTTACCCAGCACATCCTGCAGGCAGGGCATATTGTAGGTCGAGGGTTTGTAGCTGGGTTGGTGTCCCAGTCCCTCCACTGGGGCCTTGCCTGGTTACAGAAAATGGCCAATTCAGGCTCCATATCCCCCGTTACGAGGAGCCTTCACTAGGGTCACCCTCACAGATTGCAGGGAGTTTCCACTGCGCTAGATTTCTACTTCAACCCTATTTGTGCTATTCCAGTTGTCTCTCACAGGCTCTCTCAACACCCTGACTCCGCACCCCTCCCTCCTGTTCCCATCCTCACCTACCTCCAGTCCACACACAGAATCTATTCTTTCCCCTTCCCAGGGAGATCCAAATGTCCACCTTGAGCCCTCCTTATCACTTAGCATCTCTGGGTTGATGATCGTTTACTTTAACAGCTAATATCTACTTATCAATGAGCACATGCCACGCTTGTCTTTCTGGGTCTGGGTTACCACACTCAGGATGCTTTTTTCTTTTTCTTTTTTTTTCGGTTTTTTGAGACAGGGTTTCTCTGTGGCTTTGGAGGCTGTCCTGGAACTCGCTCGGTAGTCCAGGCTGGTCTCGAACTCACAGAGATCCGCCTGCCTCTGCCTCCCGAGTGCTGGGATTAAAGGCATGTGCCACCAACGCCCGACTCAGGATGCTTTTTTCTAGTTGCATCCATTTACATGAAAATTTTATGATGTCTTTTTTTTTTAACAGCCAAGAAAATTGTGTAAATATACCACATTTTCTTTATCCATTTTCCAGTTGAGGGACATTTAGGTTGTTTTCAGTTTCAGGATATTATGAATAAAGCCTTACCAATATTCTTCCTTCCTTTCTCAGGGTTTGCCTGTGTAGCCATGGCTGTCCTGGAACTCACTCTGTAGACCAGGCTGGCCTCAAACTCCTGAGTGCTGGGATTAAAGGTGTATGTCACCAAACCCATCTATTTTAATTTTATTAACCCAGGGCCTTCCTTGTGCTGCTAAGTCTGTACTCTGGTGATTGTGTTTTGACTCCAAGCTTTTTTGTTTTGTTTATTTTGTTTTCAAGACAGGGTTTTTCCCTGTATCCCTGGCTATCCTGGAACTCGCTCTGGCTGGGCAGAACACTGTATACATAATAAATAAATATGCCACAAGGCAGAAGGTAAATTAATAAAAATGGGTTAAGTTATAAGAGCTAGTTAGAAACCAGCCTAAGCTATTGGCTGAGCTCTCAAAATTAATAAGAAGTCTCCAGGTTGTGATTTGGGAGCTGGCAGGGGGGGACAGAAAAATCCGATAACAAAGCCTGGCTTGTTTACTGTTGAGACAACATCTTATAATGTAGCCCAGTCTGTTCTTGAATTCATAGCAATCCTCCTGCCTCAGCGTCTTAAATTTTGGAACTATAGGTCTGATCAACCATATGTCCATTTTTTTTGGAAAATTTTATTTTATGGCTGCATTTATGTCTGTGTACTATGTACATTGTGCCTGGTGCCCTCACAGGCCAAGAAAGTGTATTGGACATGGACATTTTCACTTGGGTAAACAATTTATACTTTAGAGCAGTGGTTCCCAACATGTGGTTGTGACCCCATGGGGGTTGACTGGCCCTTTTATAGGGGTTGCATATCAAATATCCTGCATATCAGATATTTACGCCGGGTGTTGGTGGCGCATGCCTTTAATCCCAGCACTCGGGAGGCAGAGGCAGGTGGATCTCTGTGAGTTCGAGGCCAGCCTGGTCTACAGAGCGAGTTCCAGGACAGCCTCCAAAACAATACAGAGAAACCCTGTCTCGAAAAATCAAAAAAAAAAAAAAACAAAAAAAAAAAAAAAACCCTGTCTTGAAAAACCAAAAAAAAAAAAAAAATCAGATATTTACATTACAATTCATTAACAGTAGCAACAAAAATAATTTTATGGTTGGGGTCACCACAACATGAGGAGCTGTATTAAAGGGTCATAACGTTAGGAAGGTTGAAAATCACTGCTCTAGAGTCTGAGCTAATTACAAAGCTATTGCGTTCAGCAGGTACTGTACTTAACCTACTGTTAGCTACTGTAGTGTCTAGTTTTATGTCAGTTTGACACAAGCTCAAGTCATCAGAAAGGAGGGAGCATCAACTGAGTAAAGACCTCCATAAGATCAAGCTGAGCTGGGCGTTGGTGGCACACGCCTTTAGTCCCAGCACTCGGGAGGCAGAGGCAGGCGGATCTCTGTGAGTTTGACACCACACTGGTGTAAAGAGCAAGTGCCAGGATAGCCAGAGCTGTTACACAGAGAAACCCTGTCTCGAAAAACCCAAAATCAGGCCATATAGGCAAACCTGTAGGATATTTTCTTTTTTTTTTTCGGTTTTTCGAGACAGGGTTTCTCTGTATTGTTTTGGAGGCTGTCCTGGAACTCGCTCTGTAGACCAGGCTGGCTTCAAACTCACGGAGATAGTTCTGCCTGCCTCTGCCTCCCGAGTGCAGAGATTAAAGGCGTGCAGGATATTTTCTTTCTTTCTTTTTTTTTTTTTTTGGTTGAAACTAGCTCTTGTAGAGCAGGCTGGCCTCGAACTCACAGCGATCACCTGCCTCTGCCTCCCAAGTGCTGGGATTAAAGGTGTGTGCCACCAATGCCCGGCTGGATATTTTCTTAATTAGTGACTGATAAGGGAGAACCCAGCCCATTGTGGGTGTTGTCACCCCTCGGCTGATGGTCCTGGGTTCTATTCAGAAGCAAGCTGAGCAAGCCATAAGGAGCAAACCAGTAATTAGCACTCCTCCGTGGCCTCTGCATCAGCTCCTGCCTTCAGGTTCCTGCTCTGTTTGAGTTCCTATCCTGACTTCCTTTAATGATAAACTGTGATGTTGAAGGCTGAAAAATCCCTTTCCTTCCCAAGTTGCTTTGGTCATGGTGTTTCATCACAGCCAAAGAAACCCTAAGACAGGTACTATTCTATTGCTGTAAAAAGACCAAGGCAACTTATGCATTTAATTGATGCAGGGGTCTCTGCAACCAACACAGCCACAGAGTAAAGATCCACAGAGACAAGAAGGCAGCTTGGTTTATCACGAGTAAGTAGCTGGTGTTGGTTCAAACTTTGAGAGTCTGACCCTGAGTAGTTTACTTTAGGCATATTTAAACACAGTACAATTTAGTGCAAACATTCCTGTGACAATTAACTTAATCCTGTGTGCATAATAAAGCACACATAAATCTCCTCAAGACATGACTACACAGAAACTCTTGGTAAAGTTTATGTGGCTCTTTCCATAAAGATGGGTTCTACAGATTGACTGAGAAAAACAAACTTATGATAAGGTCTGGGGATCTGGTGTGGCCTCCTGCCACACAGGTAGTGCAAAGGTCACCAGGCAATTAGCACATCTGCTCTCAGCCTTCTGGCGGGTAACAGGTCATGCATCCCTTACTCTGAATGAACAACCCTGTGTGTTTAGCATTCCAGGTTCCCTTAGTGTCTATCAATGAACTCAACAAACTCCATGCTGCCTACAATTTAGGGGCTTACTTACTGTTAGTCCATGATCATGGCAGGTAGTGTGGTTGCAGGCAGACAAAGTGCTGAGCAGTAGTAGTTAAGAGTTCAATATGAGCCAGGCTGTGGTGGTACATGCCTTTAATCCCAGCACTCGGGAGGCAGAGGATCTCTGTGAGTTCAAGGCCAGCTTGGTTTACAGAGCAAGTTCCAGGACAACCTCCAAAGCTACAGAGAAACCCTGTCTCAAAAAAACCAAAAAAAAAAAAAAAAAAAAAAAAAAGAGTTCAGTATCATGAGAGAGACTGAACCTGATGGGTCTTTTGAAATCTCAAAGCCCACTCCCAGTGACACAACTCCTCCAACAAGGCCCTGCTTTTATTTACTTTTAGTAAAAGAGACGTGTATTCAGAAAGGAAATAGAGGCTGGCAATATGGTTCAGAGGATCAAGCGCTTGCTGTGCCAGCCTGGTGACAAGAATTTGATCCCCAGAACCCACATAAAGGTGGAAGGAGACAACCAACTCCACAAAATTGTCCTCTGACCTCCACACATGCACCATCCCCCAACATTTCTCTCTCTCTCTCTCTCTCTCTCTCTCTCTCTCTCTCTCTCTCTCTCTCTCTCTCACTCACTCACTCACACACACACACACACACACACTATATAAACAATTAAATTAAAAAAAAAAGAGAGAGAGCCGGGCGGTGGTGGCACACGCCTTTAATCCCAGCACTCGGGAGGCAGAGGCAGGTGGATCTCTGTGAGTTTGAGGCCAGGCTGGACCCACAGCCTCCAAAACAATACAGAGAAACAAGCCCTGTCTCGTTAAACCAAAAAAAAAGAAAGAAAGAAAAAAGAAAAAAGAGAGAGAAAGAAAGAAAAAGGCACTCAAGAGGGTGGAAGTGGGTTAGTGAGCTGGGAAGAGACATGCTCAAAAAAACCTTATTTTTCTTTTTAACTTTTTTTTTAATAAGATTGATTATGTACGTGTTCTTCCTGTGGGCCAGAAGAGGGCACCAGATCTCATTACAGATGGTTGTGAGCCACCATGTGGTTGCTGGGAAGAGCAGGCAGTGCTTTTAACCTCTGAGCCATCTCTCCAGTCCCCCTTATTTCTCTTTTTAATTGTGGCAAATATACACAATATAAAATTTACCATCTTAATTATTTTGTCGTTCAGTAGTCAAGTGTACTGTCTTGATCAGTATCCACTCTCCACAACTTTTTCCTTTCACAACTGAAATGTTTATCTATTAAAACAATTCCATTTCCTAGGCTGGGAGGTGGTATCACATGCCTTTAGTGCCAGCCTGGTCTACAGAGTGAGTTCCAGGTCAGCCAGGGCTACAAAGAGAAACCCTGTCTCAAAACAAAAACCACTATAGATACCTCATATAAGTAGAGTATCATAGCATTTACCATTGTGTGACTAGCTTTTTTCATTTAATATTCAGTGTTCATACCTGTTCAATGTGTCAGAAATTACCTATTTTAAATTGGATAATATTCCAGTGTACATTTTTATTTTGTTTATATTATTGATGGGCCCTGGGTTGCCACCATCTTTGGTTATTTTACATAATGCTGCTAAAGACGTAGTTATATGAATATCTCTTGGAGATTCTGCTTCCAACTTCCTCCCTTCCCTTTCCCACAGGCTCTTCCTTTTAATCCCAAGGTGGCCTTGGCTCCAGATTCTCGTTTCAGTCTCCAGAGTACTGTGATAACAGGTGTGTGCTACTACACTCAGTAAGTGCTTTTGATATACTTTCAGAAGTGGAATTTCAGAGGGTGGTAGCACTTATTTAAAGGTCTAATGACCTATGCTTGGCCCTTGGACCCCACAAGGTGACAGGAAAGAACAGTTCCTATATGCCCAAATAAATAATTAAAAAAAAAACAAAACCTTTAAAAAAGAATCTCAGCGTGAGCCAGTGTGAAGCAGAGTTGGAGTTTATAAAAAAATAGAAAGGTACCCAGGAAAACTGTAAGGTGCACCTGAAAGTAAGGGCATGGGCTTCTTATAGGAAAGTAGCCACATATAAACCATTTTGATGGCACTCAGGTTACATCTCAAGGGGTTACTGAGAAGCCTTTTGGCATCAGTCTTTTTTGGTATGAGATCATAGGCTGATCCCTAAGGTGCACTGGATAGGATCACCATCTGATAAAGTAAAAACATGGGTTAAGGTGTGTGGCGACAGTGTGGGCATTGGAGAGAAAGCTCAGCGGTAAGATCACTGGTTGTTCTTTGAGAGGACATGGGTTAAGTACCAGCACCCACACAGCAGTTCACAGGTGTCTGTAACTCAGTCTTAGGAGATCTGACACCATCTTCTGGAACAGACACCCATACATACAAAAGTTAAGATCAGGCTGGACGTGAACTCAAGAGCTCCTGCCTGTGCCTCCTGGGTGCTGGGGTGAAAGGTGTGTCATAACACCTGGATGAGATGTTTCTATATAGAAGAAGTGCTGCCCCCCACCCCCTTCAGTTGTTGGCAGCTTTCACAGCAGACTTGTTAACTGTGCTGGAATTCCTGCAAATCAGTCAGGACTCATTTTCCTTCTTATGCCTCTGGAATTTTTCCTGTCTTTCTATCATACCAAAGTCTTTAGGAAATTGCTGCTTCTGCTTCACCAGATGGGGCTTCTCTGTATAAAGACTCCCACTGAGTCCTGTGCCCTGAATGAACAATCCCCAGTGCTGCCCTCAGTTCCCAAACAACTGTCCAAACCCCAACGCACAGAGACAATTGCTTTTCCTCTCCTTTTTGAGACGGTCTTTCTTAACACAGTCCTGACTATTCTGGAATTCACTGTGTAGACCAGCCTGGCCTCAAACTTATGGAGATCCAAACTCTTGTTTTACAAAAAGCAAGTGTTGGGATTAAAGGTGTGTGCCACTGCCACCCAACTAGAGAATGCCCTCTTTGTCCTGGCTAAGACCCCAGCTCAGAGTACTATACTTTTTGTATTTCTAACAGTGCTATGGATGGACCCCTGCTAAGCAAGCACTGTACCACTAAGCTACACCTCCAAGCCCTGTACCTACTTCTCTCAGAGAGCTCATCTGGTCCAGCACCAGTTTCTTCACACCAGAGATACAGCTATACATCTGTGCCACTTCGGCTGTATTTTCCACCTGAGCCTGTCCATGCACAGATGCAGATGTATGCAGACTGTCGGTGCCACTGTGCCTGTCTCTCCCTCGCCACCGTTGCCTATAATCTGCCACTCACTATGCCAGCTGGGAAACTTCCTTCATTACTAGCTCACAAAGAGAGATGCTCTGCTGGTGACTTAGCCATGGGCAGTGCATCTGTCACAGGCTCCTACAGCCATTCCTAGGCACGTGTGAGCACAGGTGACAGATAGGGTTTGGCACATTCTATTCAGAACTCACTCGGTAGACCAGGCTGGCCTCGAACTCACAGAGATCCGCCTGCCTCTGCCTCCCGAGTGCTGGGACTAAAGGCGTGCGCCACCAACGCCCGGCGCACATCTTTCATCATGAGCTCTTTCACAGCCCCAGACCTAGGCCACCCACAGCCATATTTCTAAGCCTACCTGAAAGATGAGTTCCCTGGTACAGGAACTACCCAGGAATTCTCCCTGACTTTTGTCTCCGTTTTGCTAGACAGCTGGACTGAGGGCTGGTACAAGTAAAGGGCTACTTTTTTTTAATATCCCATTTTAAAGATAGTTTTTTTTTTTTAAGAATTATTTACTTATAGCTGGGCGTTGGTGGCGCACGCCTTTAGTCCCAGCACTCGGGAGGCAGAGGCAGGCGGATCTCTGTGAGTTCGAGGCCAGCCTGGTCTACAGAGTGAGTGCCAGGACAGCCTCCAAAACAATACAGAGAAACCCTGTCTCGAAAAAACCAAAAAAAAAAAAAAGAAAGAAAGAAAGAAAGATGTGCATTGGAGAAAGGTATCAGCCATATGCCTGTGTCTGAGCAGGAGGGAGTGGGGAGAAGTTGTTGCATTCTGAATAGGGTATCCCAAACCCTATCTGCCACCTGTGCTCACATGTGCCTAGGAATGGCTGTAGGAGCCTCTAAGGCAGAGCACTGCCCATGGTTAAGTCACCAGCAGAGCATCTCTATAACAGGCTTTCTTTTGAGCTACAACCAGTTCCCAAATAAAGACAGACTTATTATTAGTTATGGATGCTTGGTCTTATCTTCTGTTTGTCCCACTAGCTCTTATAACTTAAATTAACCTGCTTCTCTTCATCTGCATTTGTCCTCAGGACTTTTTACCTATCTTTCATTCTGCATGTCCTACTCCATGTCTAGCTGGTGGCTGCCTGACTGGCTGGCCACAGCATCTCCCTCTTTCTCTCTTGTTCTCTCTTCTCTTTCTCCTCCTACTTAATCTCTCTTCCTACCAGCCCCGCCTATCCATCTACTGCCTAGCTATTGGCTGTTCAGCTTTTTATTAGGCCAATTAGGTGCCTTAGACAAGCAAGGTGAAACAGCAACACATCTTTACATAATTAAACAGATGCAACATAAATAAATGGAACACATCTTTGCCTAGTTAAACAAATGCAACACACCTTTACATAGTTAAAGTTCCACAACACATCTCTCTTTGGGAATGAGCTGGTAACGAAGGAAGTTCCCAGCTGGCATAATGGGTGGCAAATTATAGGCAATGGTGGTAAAATGGAGAAAGCAGGGGCAGGAAAAGAAAAAAGTAAGATGCACAAAATGACAAAATCTGTAGGAGCTAGAAGGTCCCCTTTCAGATTGTGGATATAGGAGTAATCAGAAGTGTATCAGTGAGTGCTGGCTATGCAGCTTAGTGATAGGCTTGTGCTTAGCATGCTGAGATCCATCTATGAGGAACATGTCACTTAGGAAAGGACAGTCTGAAACTGCACTACATGAATCTGTTAAGGTGGCTAAGAATGTGGTTCAAGCCCTTTCCCCTGGCTGGCAGCGCGGAGGCCGCACGGAGTTCGTCAGAGCTCTGGCAGCCTTCCTCAAAAAGTCCGGGAATGAGTGGCCACAGTCAAGCCCGCCAAACATAAAGAACTCACCCCTGTGATGAGAGCTGGTTCTACCCATGAGCTGCTTCCATGACATCACTCCTGTACCCCCCGCAGTGGTGCCGGGGTTGGTTCCATGACCAAGATCTATGGAGGACGGCAGAGAAATGGTGTCAGGCCCAGCCACTTCAGCAGAGGCTCCAAGAGTGTGGCCCACCGCGTCCTCCAAGCCCTGGAGGGGCTGAAGATGGTGGAAAAGGACAAGGATGGGGGCCGAAAACTAACACCTCAGAGACAGAGAGATCTGGACAGGATTGCCGGACAGGTGGCAGCTGCCAACAAGAAGCATTAGAACAAAGGATGCTGGGTTAATAAATTGCCTCATTCATTAAAAAAAAAAAAAAAAGAATGTGGTTCAAGAGAGATGGCCCACACCTTTTATCCTAGCACTCCTAGGAGAGGCAGGTGGATCTCTGTGAATTCCAGGACACCCAGGAAGCAGCACCCGTCCATGGCTTTTGCATCAGCTCCTGCTTCCTGGTTCCTGCCCTCCTTGAGTTCTTCCCTGATTTCCTTCAGTGATGAACAGTGTTGTGGAGTGGAGTCAAATAAACCCTTTCCTCACCAACTTGCTTTTTGGTCATGGTGTTTCCATCTATCATTGTAACACGAAAATTAAAAGACCCAGAGACAGATATTGGGGTTCAGGCTTCAGATCAGAAAAGCAAGGCAGCTAGCTGGTCACTAGCTCTTACTCTACCAGTCTCCTTGGGCTCTCCCCAAGCCTCTAACTGTAAGCTCTCCTCAGTGTGGCTGGAGAATGAATGCTAGCTCTGAGACCTGGATCCTGTTTTAAACACCTCTCATGGGTTCTGGGATTAAAGGTGTGAGCTCTGTTACTCTTTTTTTTTTTTTTTTGGTTTTTCGAGACAGGGTTTCTCTGTGGCTTTGGAGGCTGTCCTGGAACTCGCTCGGTAGACCAGGCTGGTCTCGAACTCAGTGATCCGCCTGCCTCTGCCTCCCGAGTGGAGTGCTGGGATTAAAGGCATGCGCCACCAACGCCCGGCGCTCTGTTACTCTTTTAGACTGATTCAATCTCAAGTAGCCCTGGGTGGCCTTGAACTTAGAGATCTATCTGCCTTTGTCTCCTAAGTCCTGGGATTAAAGGTATGTGCCACCACTGCCTGGCTGGCTTCTATGACTAATTGGTATGGCTGCTTTGCTATTTTGATCTCCAGTGGCTTTAATAAATCATAAACAACATAACCACATACCACACTAATAGAAACCCTCTAAGACACCTAGTTTGCATAACTGCCCTGGAATCCATCCTCAGCACCAAATAAAACTGGGTGTACAATGCATACTTTTTTGTTTTGTTTTTTTTGTTTTTCGAGACAGGGTTTCTCTGTAGTTTTGGAGGCTGTCCTGGAACTAGCTCTGTAGACCAGGCTGGCCTTGAACTCACAGAGATCCGCCTACAATGCATATTTTTAATTCTAGCTTGGACAACATGAGGCCCTGTCTGGAAAAGAATAAAAGGCAATAATTGTTTTCATTAGTAAGTAGTTTTTCTACTTCTTTCTAGGACTGATACTGCTTGTCCTAGTCTGGATTTATGGTGAGGTGACCCCTCAGGCAAAGGTCAAGGTCTAGGCAGTCAGTAAAATGAAAGTGTGCTAACATTTATTTTTTACTTTTTATTTTTTTTTTGGTTTTTCGAGACAGGGTTTCTCTGTATTGTTTTGGAGGCTGTCGGTCCAGCCTGGCCTCGAACTCACAGAGATCCGCCTGCCTCTGCCTCCCGAGTGCTGGGATTCAAGGCGTGCGCCACCACCGCCCGGCTGAAAGTGTGCTAACATTTAAGGTTGCATTTCTCGGCACTGATCCTCACTGAGCATGACCCATGGAGGGAACCTTTCAAGTATTTAGTTTGTAAATATGGGTGCTTTCCTTGACTGCCACAGGTCTGACTGCTGCTGGTGGAGGACATGGTGTCAGGTTTCTCAGAGTCACAGATGGCTGTCACCCACCATGTGGGTGCTAGAAACAGAACATAGGTCCTCTGCAAAAGCAAGTGCTCTTAACCACTGAGCCACCTCTCCAGCTTGGGAGAAATTAGTCTTTACGGCTTTTTGCCCAGCGTAGAGTTGTTAGTGCCACAGAGAAGGCATCCCAGGTTCAGATTCTGTTCCTACATCTTGTAATAGATTTGGAGCAAGCTGATGAAGATTTGTGGGGGTTTTGTCTGTTTGTTTTTTGAGGTAGCCCCAGCTGGTCTGGAACTCACTATGTGGACCAGGATGTCCTCAAACTGGGAGATCTGCCAGTATCTGCCTCCCAAGGAATTAAAAGCATGTGCCACCACACCCAGCTGTCTTTTATGATTTTGTTGTTTTATTTGGGGAGTGAGCAGTACAGGTAAGCAAGCCAGGGCTTTACACTGTGACACAGTGATAATTATCCCCATAAGAACTCTAGTAATAAGTATCAGAAAACACAGTATTCCAGGTGCTTAGTTGGCCCTCAACAACAAAGGTACAGATGTCTCTGTGTGGATTTCCTCCACACTTCTCTGCAGTGGGTAGTTTTCCTTACAGTGTGTCCTGATATTTATACAAGGGTTTGGTTTCACACCCAGTCCTGGTTATACATTTAAAAAATATTTTTATAAAACTTTGAGCCTCAGGCAAATACCCTACCACTGGACTAAATACTCTTCCTTTAAAAACAGGTTCTCACTGTGGTGTCCATGCTATCCGGAGCTCTGTGATGGCACAACTACACTATTTGGGAAGGCAACAGTGGAGACATGACTTCCCTGCTTCTCCACAAGTGAAACGACCAGCCAGCCATTTGCCTTTTGTTTCCCCAGCAGCCTAAATGTGCATTCCACTGGACAAAGGAAGAGTTAAGCACAAAGCTATTAGTTTTGCCTCCAAACAGAAATCAAACTTCCTAAACATCGGAAGGTGGGTCAGTCATTTCTACAGACTAGTTAGGAGCTGCCCAAGGTCAGTCGACTTACCCTTTCAGTCATTCAGTTTTACCAGAAGTGCTACTATCACTGCTCCCTTCTTTCCTAGGACTTTTCAGAATTCCAGGCTGTGCCAACTTTATGGGCATAGAATGCAGCTGTTTAACAAATCCATGTTGAGGTCGTGTGACTTTCCCTAGCAAGACGTGTAGAAGCGTCTTCTCTAGCTAGGTCAAACAAACTGTAGAACACAAGGCGGGCCTCCTTCTACACTTTTCAAGACCCGTTTAGGAACACTCCGTCCACCTTCTTGCCCATAAGAATGCGTTGGCTTCATTCAAACGGGCCGCCTTCGCCAACACCCAATCAGAGCATCCGATCTTCAGCTACCGACCAATGAACGAATGCAATAGATAAGGGCGAAAGTAGGCATGAAGCCATCTCTCAGCGCCATTACACTTTAGGGCAGGGAGGTTAAGAAGCCGGCATGGCGCTCGGGTCAATAAAATCGATAGCTGGAACCTGCCTGTGTTCTAGGCAGCGGCGGTGCAGGAGCGGCGCCGCCATCTTCCCCGAAGGCATCTTCCGGTGCCTCTCACCCAAGTTCCAGCCGGAGTTTCCTGAATAACGGTGTGGTCTGTGTTGGACCGCCTTGGCCCTCAGGCGGCTGATTCAGATTTCCTCCGGGCCTTCCCGGTCGGGGTCCTAGGTCTCCGGGTGTGCGGTGCCCCGGGGCGCAGATCCGATGGCGCCGCCTTCGGCTCCGCTCCCTGCGCGGGCACCAGGAGAGGCTGCACTTACTCGGAGGAGGGGCAGGAGGCCAAGGGCCTTGAAGTTCGCGGACGTGGCTGTGTACTTCTCCTCGGAGGAGTGGGGCTGTCTGCGGCCCGCGCAGAGGACTCTCTACCGGGATGTGATGCGCGAGACCTACGGCCTCCTGGGCGCGCTCGGTGAGGCCCGGCCCAATCGGCTTACGCGGGACCTAAGGGATGCTGGAGCTTGAGGGCGGGGTAGAGTGGGGGCAGGGACCCAGGGTCCTGACCTGCGACCAGCTCTTAAGGGTGGGGGCAGAGCCTCGGCAGATTTTTTTTTTAGCATCATTTCCCGAGGCCAGCCCTCTGACTGGTTCTCCTTCCCCAGGATGTGCAGGTCCCAAACCAGCTCTCATCTCCTGGTTGGAACGAAATACCGATGATTGGGAACCGGCAGCCCTAGATCCGCAGGAGTACCGGAGATGGGTAACATTCCAGAGAAGTGAGTGAAAAAAGCCCATGAAGACCCTGCAGCCCTCAAGTGTAACTCTCTAAACTCTGCCGACCCAACCTAAAATTTTGGTCTGGTTAGGGGTAGCCGGGTTGCTTGTATTGTAGGCAAACTATCTGCAATACTCCACTGACATAAATGAATCACTGAGTTTTGAAAAAGATCCTGCTTCTGGGACCTAGCCTTCTTTACACTCTGGAAGAGTAGGAAGAGACGTTAACCACTGAGCATCTCTCTAACACCCGGCTCACTCTTGAATCTAAAAAAGAAAAGGCCCGTTGATTTGAATGTGCTTCTAGGCTGTGAACCACTGGATGAAATGCACTCCAGGGTCTTTAACATTGTGCTTCTAGACCAGCAGCTGCATACGTAATTGGGAGTTGTCTTAGGACTTTCTGTGTTGTAATAAACATGACCAAAAGCAGCTTGGGGAGGAAGGGGGTTTATTTAATTTACATTTTCAGTTCGTCATCAAAGGAAGTCAGGGCAGGGACTAAAGCAGAAGCCACGAGGAAGGCTGCTTACTGGCTTCTTCCCTGATTTCTTATATATTCAGGAACATCTGCCTAGGGATGGCACCACCCGCAGTGGGCTGCCCATATCAATCACTAATTAAGAAAATGCAGGCTTGCCCAGAGGCCAGTCCATTGAGTTCCCTCTTCATAAATGACTCTTGCTGGTGTCAAGTTGACATCAAATAATCCAACACAATTGACCTTTGTCAGCTTGACACACAAACACATCCCTGTTAACCACAACCTTCCCTTCCCAAGGTCTCAATTCAAACACTCTAAAAGTTGGTGTCCTTACAGTATCTAAATTCTCTTTCAAAAAGTTTCTCTAGAATATCCAAAATCTCTCTAAAATTAACTATGGGATCCTGTAAAAGTAATAACAATAACAACAACAAGAAGAATAAGCTGCATACTTTATTCTCAACAGTGATAACCAGGGCACAGTTATAATAGAATCAAAGCAAAGCGAAAGTCTAACAGTATGACCTCCTCAACGTCAGACTTCTGAGACTCGAACTTCGTGTCCAAAGGGCACAGTGGCACTTCTGTGACTGTCACCCACAGCACATGCAGCTTGCTTCCTAAGCTCAAGCCAAGTCACAGCTGCTGCTGTGGGTGGTGGTCAGCCCTGGTAATGGTAGCTACAAAATGCTAGGGCTACGTCTTCAGTATCCTCTCCTGGACTCTCTTTAGAGACATTGACCCCTCCACTTCCTGCCAAGCCTCAGTCTCCCTCTCTGAACCCTTCAGTGCGAGGTTTCTACTTAAATTGAAGCTACTCATTCACCAGTGGTCTGAGACATTGACCCCTCCACTTCCTGCCAAGCCTCAGTCTCCCTCTCTGAACCCTTCAGTGCGAGGTTTCTACTTAAATTGAAGCTACTCATTCACCAGTGGTCTGGGCTTGCCTTCACAGCGCCAACCCTCGGTTGCTCTCCATGACCCTTTACACCTTCAAAAACCAATATGACTTGTGAAACTAACATATAATGAAGTTCAGCTGCCAACATGAGGTGCTGCCTTGGCCCCATCATGGACCACAGCTCTATGTGCTGACCCTGATGAAATATTCTCAGATTTATGATCCTTGGTGATACTGGTATTTTTGGTTCTTAATTAAAAATATCATATAGCCATGGGGTGGTGGTGCACACCCTTAATTCCAACACTTGGGAGACAGAGGCAGGCAGATCTCTGAGTTCAGGGGCAGTCTGGTCTACAGAGCGAGTTCTAGGACAGCCAAGAATAACAGAAACCCTGTCTTTAAAATGAAAGTTATATATATATATATATATATGTATATATATATATATTTTTTTTTTTTTGGTTTTTCGAGACAAGGTTTCTCTGTGGCTTTGGAGGCTGTCCTGGAACTCGCTCTGTAGACCAGGCTGGCCTCGAACTCACAGAGATCCGCCTGCCTCTGCCTCCTGAGTGCTGGGACTAAAGGCATGCGCCACCAATGCCCAGCAAGTTATATATATTTTAAAATAAATGTATACATATATATAAACACACGCATATATATTATGTGACATGCATGTGTCTTGGTGGACTGTTTAAGGGACTCTCAGGCTTCCTGCCACACACCCCTCAAAACAGATGGTTAGGTCTGAATGAATGAATGAATGAGTGAACAAATAAAACAAGCCCTGTAAGGATGCTTAGAGTGCTGCTTAGGGGGTGAGTGCTTGACTCACATGTACACCACTTCGGTTTGACTCCCCAGCATTGCATAAATAGGTGTGGTGCCTGCTTGTAATGTTAGCACTTGGGGGGTAGAAGCAGGAGGGTAAGATGTTCAGGGTCATTCCCCACCTTACCTAGTCAGTTGGAGGCCAGTCTAGAGTACATGAGACCCTGTCTAAACAAACAGCCCCCCCCCCACATTGGGAGAAACAGTTTCTACAGGGTAGTTGGGGACAAAGTCTTCTGTGTACCCCACAGAGCTACCCCACAGCTACTAAAAACAAGTTTTTTGTTTGTTTGTTTGTTTGATTATTATTAAGGACAAAGTCTTGTGCGTCTTAGTAAAGCTATGTAGCCAAGGATGAACACTTTTAGTGGTGCAGGATCAAACCCAGAGATTCATGAATTCCAGGCAAGCACTCTGCCAACCAAGCCAAACCCTTAGCTCCCAAATCCTCTGTTTTAAAAGTCAGCTTAACCCCCACCCAATCTTACATGAGGTGGATGTGGAGCTCTAAATGCCAGCCTAACACATTTGTACGCCATTCTTAGCTCTCTGACACCAACAATTGACAGGATCTGAGTGTGTTGGTCTTGTAGCTCTTAACGTTAATAGGCAAGCATACAGCCCGGTATTTAATTTCTCTGTTTCCCCGTAGAAACCAGAACCAGACAGAAGAATGAAGAGAAGCAAGTATTCCCACCGAAAGAAACGCCCCGAAAGGGGAAACGAGGGCGGAAGCCCAGCAAACCCCGGTTGATTCCCAGGCAGACATCTGGGGGCCCCATCTGCCCTGACTGTGGCTGTACCTTCCCTGACCACTCCACCCTGGAGAGCCACAAATGTGCCCAGAATCTGAAGAAGCCCTACCCTTGCCCAGACTGTGGGCGCCGCTTTTCCTACCCGTCCCTGTTGGTCAGTCACCGGCGGGCACACTCTGGTGAGTGCCCCTACGTTTGTGACCAGTGTGGCAAACGTTTTTCCCAGAGGAAGAACCTGTCTCAGCACCAGGTCATACACACAGGCGAGAAACCCTACCACTGCCCTGACTGTGGTCGCTGCTTTCGGCGGAGCCGGTCCTTGGCCAATCACCGGACCACGCATACAGGCGAGAAACCTCATCAATGCTCTAGTTGTGGGCGTCGCTTCGCCTACCCATCTCTGCTGGCTATCCACCAGCGGACACACACCGGAGAGAAGCCCTATACCTGCCTAGAATGCAGCCGTCGCTTCCGCCAGCGCACTGCCCTGGTCATCCACCAGCGCATCCACACCGGAGAGAAGCCTTACCCGTGTCCTGACTGCGAGCGGCGGTTCTCCTCCTCCTCTCGCCTGGTTAGCCACCGGCGTGTGCACTCTGGGGAGCGGCCCTACGCCTGTGAGCACTGTGAAGCCCGCTTCTCCCAGCGCAGCACCCTGCTCCAGCACCAGCTCTTGCACACAGGCGAGAAGCCCTACCCCTGCCCGGACTGCGGACGTGCCTTCCGAAGGAGCGGCTCCTTGGCCATCCATCGCAGCACCCACACAGAGGAGAAACTGCATGCTTGCGAGGACTGTGGCCGCCGCTTTGCCTACCCTTCGCTGCTGGCCAGCCATCGGCGTGTGCACTCAGGCGAGCGGCCCTATGCCTGTGACCTTTGCTCCAAACGCTTTGCCCAATGGAGCCACCTGGCTCAACACCAGCTTCTGCACACCGGGGAGAAGCCTTTTCCCTGCCTTGAGTGTGGCCGATGCTTCCGACAGAGGTGGTCTCTGGCTGTCCACAAGTGCAGCCCCAACACCCCCGATGGTAGCCCTAGACCTGTTATAGGAGGGCCAAGTCAGAGGGGCAGTGCCCTTTAGCATGACAGAGACTTTGGGAGGTCCCTTTACAGGGGGTTCAGGACTAGAAGGAGCTGCCAGAAGTCGTTCAGGGAGGAGCAGAGCTAAAGCCCTGGTCCCCTGCTCCACATCCTGAACTCCAGTGTATCCAGCACACTGGCTGCCTTACAGCGTGTCTAAAGCAGTTATCAGAGAGATGACACCATTCGATTAAAGTTTTCCAAGCTAACCTATCTTAAAATAATGTGGGTGCACCCCCCCCCAGTTTCTTTATGGCTGCCTTCTTAGTTTTTGTGTACAGGTTACATTCAATCAGGAGAACCTCATTTGTGGAAGGCAGAACCTTCCCTGCTCTGCCTTTCTCTCCATATCGTGCGAACAACACTTCTGCCAGGCGATAGGCCACTGCTGAAAGCTACCTCACACGGCAGGCAGGCAGGCAGGCAGGCCGTTTCCTTGTGGGATGGTGCTAACTTTTAGAAGGCTATATGCTGCATTCTCCTTTGAAAACCTGGCCTGAACTTTACCCACATGGTGGCTCTTCAGAAAACCTAATCACAACTGCTTTGTGCTCAAGTTGGTCGTCTGTGTGTGTGTGTAAGAGAGGGGGGAGAGAGAGAGAGAGAGAGAGAGAGAGAATGGTCTTACTGTCTCAAGTGGTCTTTAACTTGTGGTTTAAGTTATTCTCACACCTCAGCCTTCTGAGTAGTTGAAGTGATAGGCTAGTGCTACCACATCTGGCTCTGTCAAGCATTCTTTTTTTTTAAGGTGTATATACGTATTTTAAAGATTTATTTATTTTTACTTTATGTGTTTGAGTGTTTTGCCTGCATGTATATCTATGCACCATGTTTGGGCCTGGTGCCCAAGAGAGGCCAGATGAGGGCATCATGTTCCCTGGGACTGGAGTTACAGATAGTTGTGAGCCACCATGTGAATGTATACAGGAAATCAAACCACAGGCCCTTAGCCACTGAGCCATCCACTCCAGCCTCTCTGGTGAGTCATTCTTTGGAGAGTGGCTCTCGGTTCCCACATGTGAAGTCTCTGAATGTGCTGTTTTTATTGTCTCTTCTGAAGGATCAGACTAAAACGACAGTACCGTAGCATGTACTGTATGCCCCTCCTACCTGTTTTGTTCTTAACTACTCAAGGCAGCACTGATTTGGGGGAATGCCAGTGTGTTGGGTTTCAGACCTCTAAACACCCTAACCTTCTTTTTAGAGATGTGATAAAACCAAATCTTCTTTACCACATTGGAAAATTGGTTCAGGTTGGGTCTGAGGCATCAGCACAGTAAACAGACAGGTTTGATTGTTTTGGGTTTCTTGTTTTTGTTTTTGTATTGAGACAGCGTTTCTCTGTGTATCCCTGGCTGTCCTGGTACTCCCTCTGTAGATCAGGCTGGCTTCAAATTCACAGAGATCCAGAGATCCACCTGCCTCTGCCGAATGCTGGAAATAAAGGCGTGTACCACCACTACGCGTCAAGATGTTTGATTTTTAAGAAAAAGTGGGGGACCTGAACCTAGCAGCAAGAGGTAAACTGGTAGACTTGAGTTTGCTACAGGTAGCTAGTGGCTGGGAAAATCCCTGGGAACTGGGTCTTATGTTTTTCATGGTTTACATTAAATTAAGGGAACAGCATGGAACCTTCCATTGGGACCCATTCTGCTTTTGCTCATAAAGTAAGGGAATTCAAGGAGGGTAGAAGCCTTGTGAGCAGTGTGTTAATTTTGCTTTGCTTCCATGGTACCCACCGACTTAGGTGCTCAAGTGAGTAAGCTTTGGTACCCTTTTACCCTCAGCAGCTGCACCAATGGAATTTCTAAACATGACTCATCTTCCAACAACTGAATGGCATCCTCCTGCAGTTGCCTCTTTCTTTAGGGTGGGGAGCAGATGTAATTACCTCTGTTTAGGTGTTTAGCAAGCTGAGTGTAACCCTTTGTTTCTTCATGGATAAATAAGTAATCTCCGGGGAGGGCCTTGCCAGATAGAGTTTCATTAAAATATTTAATGAATAAATTCTGCTCCTTCTGGAATTAATCTTTACAAAATGTGAATCTAGCTCCTCGGCTGAGAAGAAATTCACTGTTACGATGGAGATTGAACCCGTTAGCCCATGGCCCCTGCTTTTTCCTAGCCTAGAAAATTGTTCATCTCCTTAAAGTTTTCCAGTTTTGTTGAGTACAGGTTTTTGCAGTATGACATGGTGATTCTCTGGATTTCCTCAGTGTCTGTTGTTATGTCCTCTTTTTGTTTCTGATTTTGTTAATTTGAATATTCTCTCTGTATTTTGGTTAGTTTGGATAAATATTGTCTATTTGGTTGAATTTTTCAAATAACCAACTCATTCTTTGTATTGTTTTCTTTGTTTTTATTTTATTGTTTCAGCCCTCAATTTGACTATTTCTTGCCATCTACTGCTTCTGAGTGAGTTTGCTTCTTTTTGATCTGTGGCTTTCAGTTGTTCTGTTAATTCGCTAGTGTGGGATTTTTCCAGCTTTATGTAGGCATTTAATGCTATGAACTTTCCTCTTAACACTACTTTCATTGTGTCCCATAAGTTTGGGTATGTTGTGTGGTCATTTCCATTAAATTTTAGGAAGTCTTTAATTTTTTTTGTTTATTTCTTCCTTAATCCAGTGGTGATTCAGTTGTTAATTCTTCAATTTCTATGGATTTGTGGGTTTTCTGAAATTAATGTTGTTGTTGAATTCTAACTTTAAGCTGTGGTGATCTGATAAGATACATGGGGTTATTCCAATATTTTTGTATCTGTTGAGGTTTGCTTTGTTACCAAGTATGTGATCTAATTTTGAGAAGGTTCCATGAGGTGCTAAGAAGAAGGTGTATTCTTTTGTGTTTGGGTAGAATGCTCTATTGATGTATGTTAAACCCATTTGAGTCATAACATCTGTTAGTTTCCTTATTTTTCTGTTAAGCTTTTGTCTCATAAACCTGTCCAGTGGTGAGAATGGGGTGTTGGTGTTCCACTATTAGTGTATGGGGCTTAATTTATGATTTAAGCTTTAGTAAAGTTTCTTTTACAAATGCAGGAACCCTTGTGTTTGGGGCATAAATGTTGAGGATTAAGTTTTCCTCTTGATGGGTTTTTCCTGTAATGAATATGAAATGCCCTTCTTTATCTTTTTTGATTGATTTTAGTTTGAAGTTTATTTTGTTAGATATTAGTATAGCTACGTCAGCTTGTTTCTTAGGTCCACTTGATTGGAAAATTTTTTTCTCAACCCTTTGCTCTGAGGTAATATCTGTCTTTGAGGTTGAGGTGTGTTTTTTGTATGCAGAAGAAGCATGCATTCTGTCTTCATATCCAGTCTATTAGCCTGTGTCTTTTTATGTGTGAGTTGAGACCATAATGGATATTTATGACCAGTGATTGCTAGTTCCTGTTGTTGTCTTTGTTGTTGGTGATGGCATTGTATGTTCAATTCCCTTCTTTGAGATTTGCTGCTGCAAGCTCATCTATTGCCTGTTTTCTTGTTGGTTGTAGCTGATTTTTTTGGGATGAATTTTTCATTCTAGTATTTTCTGTAGGGCTGAGTTTGTGGATAGGTATTGTTTAAACCTGGTTTTTCATGGAATATCTTGCTTTCTCTATCTGTGGTTATTGAAATTTTTTCTGGATATAGTAGTCTGGGCTGGCATTTGTGGTCCCTTAGTGACTGTATAACATCTGTCCAGGACCCTCTGTCTTTCAGAGTTTCCACTGAGAAGCCAGGCGAAGTTCTGATAAATTTGCCTTTATATGTTTCTCGGCCTTTTTCCTTTGCAGCTCTTAATACTCTTTCTTTATTCTGTATGTTTGTTGTATTGATTATGTGGGACTTTTTTTTATCTGGTCTATTTGGTGTTCTGTAAGCTTCTTGTACTTTCATCGGCATGTGCTTCTTTAGGTTGGTAAAGTTTTCTTCCATAATTTTGTTGAATATGTTTTCTGTGCCTTTGAGTAGAACTTCTTCTTCTATCCCTATTATTATTCTTAGGTTCAGTCTTTCCATGGTGTCCTAGATTTCCTGCATGTTTTGTGTTAAGGATTTGTTGAATTTAACATTTTTTTTGACTGACGAATCTATTTCATCTATCATATCTTCAGCACCTGAAGTTCTCTCTTCCATCTCTTGTATTCTTTTTTTTTTAATGCTTGCATTTGTGATTCCTGATAATTTACCCAGATTTTCCATTTCCAGAATTCCCTCAGTTTGTTTTTTCTATATTGCCTTTATTTATTTCAAGTCTTGAATCATTTCCTTCACTTGTTTGATTGCTTTTTCTTCATTGTCTTTAAGGGATTTGTTGAGATTTCTTTTTTCTTTAAAGATTTATTTATTGTGTATACAGTATTATGCTTGCAGGCCAGAAGATCTCATGGTTGTGAGCCACCATGTGGTTGCTGGGAATTGAACTCAGGACCTCTGGAAGAGCAGGGAGTGCTCTGAGCTATGTCTTCGGCCCTTGTTGAGATTTCTTTAAGAGGATTTTTCATTTCTTCTTTAAGGACCTCAGTCATTCTCATAGTTATTTTTAAGGTCATTGTCTTCTGCTTAATGTGTGTTGGGATGTTCAGGTCCTGTTATTGTAGCACCACTAGTTTTTAGTGGTGCCGTAATGCTCTTAATATTGTTGAGTGTGTTCTTGTTGTCTACGCGTCTCTTCCTCTAATCTGTATAGGTGGAACTTGTGCTTCAGGGGGTCTCTCTTTCTCCAATTGGTATAGTTGGGGGCCATGGGCTTCATTGACTGCTCCTTCAAGTGCAAGCAGAGCAGAGCCTCCGGTGAAAGCTCCTCCTGGTGGCAGTAGGCACAAGGCTCAGGTGGCCGCTCCTCACGATGCAGGTGGGGCTACAGCTCCTGTGGATGCTCCACCCATTAGAGGTGGGGCCACTGCTCCTGTGGATGCTCCACCCATTAGAGGTGGGGCTACAGCTCCTGTGGATGCTCCACCCATTAGAGGTGGGGCTACAGCTCCTGTGGATGCTCCACCCATTAGAGGTGGGGCTACAGCTCCTGTGGATGCTCCACCCATTAGAGGTGGGGCTACAGCTCCTGTGGATGCTCCACCCATTAGAGGTGGGGCCACTGCTCCGATAATTGCTCCTCTAGGTGTAGGTAGGGCTGAGGGTCCAGTGGTTGCTGTAGCAGTGGGGTATCTCCACTGAGAAATGGCAGTGGATTCTGGCTGGGACACAGGTGCTCTTTCCAGGAGGAACTTCTCATGATAGCTTCTGGAAGCCACTGCTGATGTCTGTCTCAGTGCTTGTTTTCTGCTCCCAGGTCTGAGGTTCGGGCCTCACTCTATCTAATTCTAAACCCTCTATTTGACAGCATTTCTTTGTGTAGCCTTGCCTGTCCTGGAACTTTGTGGCTTCAAACTCACAGAGATCTGCCTGTCTCTGCCTCCTGAGTTCTGGGACTAAAGGTGTGTGCTACCACCCAGCTATTATTTGCTCTTTTCCTCTTAGATTTGTGAGAGTCCTCTTATCTTGCACACACACTCTCTAGCCTATAATCATACTAAGATCTATATTTAAACAATTAAAGAAAAAAAGGGCTTTCCTTCTGACCTGTCTTCATTTAATTTCTGATCAACTTTTTATGCAATAGTGCATTCTGTTTTCTACACACTACATTCACTGATGCACTGTGGTCTGCAGCCAACTGTAGCAATGTTACACCGATGAGGTGTTTCCTGTGCGCTGTTATTAGTCAGGGTTCAGAGTCGCAGAACTTACAGAATGAAGCTCTTTCTCTCTCTCTTCTCTGTTTATAAATATATATGTGTATAAGTATGTATGGAAATTTATTGGAACGTCTTACAGGCTGCAGTTCAACAATGGCTATCTGTGACAGTAGACTGTCAGGTGGCTGCAGCAAAGACTTAACTCTGTAGATGTGGTTGCTCAAAGCTCAGAGCATGCACATTCCAAAGGAAGCTCATCTCCAAGAATTTTACTCAACCTACTCCTGGAAAGGACTTCCAAACCCTTAGAATATTTTATGCAATGAGAGTGGTTTTGTATGTTTGGAATCTTGGCTCATGCTGTGCCAACCTGACCAGATAAATGTATCCTAATGATATTTATTTGCTCACAGGAGTCAGAGTGAGGGAACTGGAGTCTAAGAAGTTGAGGTCATGTACCTTGCCTCGGCATCACAATATAGCCAACACTGTTGGTAGACTTGTGGAGGAGCCAGCCCTGGAAGTTGTAAGCATGGGAGAGTTGTCTCCCTTACTCATCTGTCATGCAGCAGAATGGGTGGGGGAGAGATTACCCCCACCTCATGTGGGAAGCTGTTCCTGCCCTTCATCAGCTGCTGCACTCAGGAGAGTGACCTCTATAGCTCGCCTGGACAACACAGTAGAGCTGGCTGTGAAGATGCAGGTGTGGGAGAGTGACCCTGAGACATGAAAGCAGGAGAACTGACCCCCCCCCCTTGCTCATCGATGTAAGGGGTGAACTAGCCAGGGCAAGGCTGGAGATCTCACCCTGGTGGTGAGGACAGGGGAGAGCTGGTACCAACCCTGCAACTACCCAGGCCCAGAACCAGGGTTAAGTATTGGCCCTCTCCACCATCTACCATCTACCCCATCTGTGGTCTGTTGTAGCAAAGGGTGGGTTTTGTGTGCTAAAGGATCTCCATGACACAGGGCACCAACAGGATGTCCAGGAAGAGTCCCATGAGGGCCCAATGTTGATGGTGCAGCAGAGACCAGGGGCTTTGACCCAAACCAATGACTCTTTGCCATGAATGCCTGCACATAAAGATGCATGGATAAAGGGACTTACTGTGTAAAGATGCATGGATAAAGGGGCTTACTGTGTAGCTCACTGTGTACACTGCAGCTTCCATGATGAGATTTCCCCTTTCTTCCTTTTTGTTTTAAATCTTAAATTTTATTTTTATTTTTTTGGGGGGGTATTGCAGGGGCAGAGGGCAGATGCAAGGAGACAGGAGATAGGTGGGATTGGGATGTGATGATGTTAAAGGCAGAAAGAATAAGA